TTGTCTGCTCAAACATGTAAGTTGTGACTGTTGTTGACCCCGTCTCGTGTAAACTGTGCCTCATCACAGAACATTATCAAGCAGTACAACTGCCGATTTCCATTTAACCAGTTGCAGCACTGCAGATGAAGAGGACGGTCTCCTGGTTGTAGGTGTTGTACTTGCTGTAAATGATAAGGATGCAGCACATTCTCATGAAGAGTCCTCCACACCATGGACTGAGAAACACCAAACTGCTGAGCTAGACGTCTTGTACTGGCATGCAGACTGCGCTTTACAGCATCAATCATGTACGCGCCAGTTGACTCCATTTTATCGTACTGACCTTGGTGGTCGTTTCGAGGGATGACCATAAATATTCTTTTGAGCCAGCTAAGCTCTGCTTTCGTTCACTACATACCAGCCAGTTCTTAGAATAACTTCATGAATTCTGTGGTCACCCCTGTGACGTCTTATGCCGCCAAAATGGATGGAAAAAGAAACGCAGAAGCACCAACACTTGTTATGATAACATAAAGGTTGAATTTACTGCAGCTAATCTGGCTAGCGATATGACTCATGGAGAGACATTAATTCTTGTATTCCCCCCATGGGGAAGAAGGCAAGGCCGCACAGAAGATGTTTGGTTTACGGAAAAAAGAGCCAAATGAGAGATACGCAGTACTGGTGTGGTGAATGTGAGACAGCGCTGTGTATAGTAGAATGCTTCAATGCATACCACACTCCGCTCAAATTCTGAACCACCTGCTTCCTTTGCCGAGATACCGGGCGCTCATATTATAAGGCAAGGTTATAAAACCATCTTTTAGGATCATTTTAGTGAAAGTTTCATGCTTCAAGGCGTACGATACACTGCTCAAATTCTAAACCAACTGCTCCCATTGCCGAGATACCGGGCGCTCATATTATAAGGCAAGGTTATAAAACCACCTTTTAATATCATTTTAGTGAAAGTTTCATGTTCCTATCTCATATAATTTAAGAACAATGATGAATAAATCATTTTCGAGCAAAATTTAAATGGACGGCTGAATATATTACCGCCGGAGAGACATGGCAGCGGAATTTAAATGACCGCGCAAAAGGGTTAATAATTCCCGGCATGAATCATATCTACCCGAACTGGTAATGACTCTTATAATTCTATTTTAAAATTTAAAGATGTTTTCATTGAGATGAGAATTACACCAGTAAATAATACCATAAGACAAAATAAGAGTTACATAGGAGTAGTAGATCATCTTCATTGAGTCCAGTGACATAAATGGCTTTATTGCCCTTATTGCATAACAGGCCTTATTTAATCTTAACGATAATTTAGTGATATGGTCCTTCCGTGACAAAGCACTGTCAATGTTTACTCCCAAATATTTAGTAGAATTGATACCAGTAATTACTGAGTTGGTACATATTATTTGCATTTTTATTTCTTTATGTTTTCTTAAGAATTGTAAAAAATGCAATTTTTCACAATTTAGTGTTAAAAAAAACTTTATTTTTCAACCAAGTAGGGACTAAACTAATGTTACTTTTGAATTCATCAGGATTGGTGTTAGATATAATAATACTAGTATCATCTGCTACCAATATAGGGTTAGCTATTTTGTTTACAGATAGTGGAAAAATCATTTATGTAAATGAGGAACAACAAAGGGCCTAAAATAGAGCCCTGTGGTACTCCATGTTTGACATGCTCCCACTTGGAGGATATTTTATTATGATTAATATCTTCCATTGATACCCTCTGATATCTATTTTCCAAGTATGACTTCATTAGTTTAATTTCTATTCCCAAGATTCCATATACAGTAGAACTTGGTTATAATGTCATCAAAGGGACCTAAAAATAGTGTCGTTATAAACGAATGTCGTTGTAACCGAAATGGGCACTTCCACAGTAGCCTTATGTTAGTCATGTAAAAATCTACCAAAAACCGAGTTAAAATGTTGCATTTTTTAGTGAAATACGTAGTTAAGTACAGACTAACGTAACATTAACCTGGAATTAATATGGATTCTCCATATCGTTTGTACTGTAGAATTCACCAAACCAAATTTGCGGCATACATCAGCTTTTTTCCTTCCATTNGGGCAGACACATCGAACTTTCCCATGATATCAGAGAAATTCAGGAATGAAAATGACATTACATACGAGGTTGATGCATTTGTGCATGTCGTACTAAGCAAGGTATAAAAACAGTTGCTTTATGAGGAATTAGTTCATACCATTGAATATTTGACGCAATAGACAAGGCGTCGCAGAAACCGATGTTGCTATAACCAAGTTTTACTGTAATTCCATCTTAGCCTTGAGTATGTTATAATTGACACAATTGAAGGCCTTTTGTAAATCACAAAATAATCCTCCTACGTAATTTTTATTATCTAAGGATGACAGTATTTTGTTTAAAAGAATGAACGTTGCAATTTCAGTAGATGATTTTTCTCTGAAACCAAACTGTTCCATTACCAATATATTATTTTTATTTAATTGATAATATAATCTTTTGTAAATGATTTTTTCAATAATTTTGGAAAATGTAGGGAGAAGCGAAATAGGTCTGTAGTTATGAAGTTCGGCTCTATTTCCTTTCTTATATAAAGGCTTGATTTCTGAATATTTTAATCTATCAGGAAATATACCTATTTGTAGGATCTTGTTAAATATGTATGTTAAAGGTGATAAGATATAAGGAGTACTAACTTTCAGAATTTTAGATGATATTTGATTATAGCCATGTGAATTCTTGGGTTTCAAGGAATATATTAATTTGATATTACAAAGTAACACTCCACATTTTCCCATATATACTTTTGTATTATCTCTGTTATAATATGCAGCCCCACATTTAATGTGAATGATCTCAAATGAAGCAGATGGGAGGAAGCCAGGAAATAATCTGCAGCTACAGTTTCCACAGACATCTTCTCTACTGAGCCACGGTTATACAAGGTGGTTCAAATATGACTGGGACTAATTTTTTTTAAAACCATAATTGCCAAACACTTACTTACACATGTCAGTCTTCAATGTACTCCACTCCAGAATCAACACATTTTTTCCAACGTTCTGGAAGCATCCTAATGCCCTTTTCAAAAAAGGCTTGTGGTTGGCGGCGTATCCACTCCTGAACAGTCCGGATGACGGCGTCGTCCACAAACCGCATGCCTTGCAAGTCTGATTTGAACCTTCCGAATAGGTAGAAATCGACTGGGGCCAAATCGGGACTGTTCGGCGGATGTGTCAGAAGGTTCCATTCAATTTCCAGAGGGTTTCCATTGTTGTTTTGGCCATATGGGGGTGCGGTTCATCCTCCGCATGCTCTCTGCCCTCTCTGAAGCACTTACACCACTCAAACACGGGTCCATGAGAGACACTCTTCCCCATACTGTTGTTGGAGTCTGTGGTGAATTTCAGTGGACGGGACGTTTTCTCCGAGGAATTTGATCACAACGCGTTGTTCCACGCTCCCCGGTACCTTCTGTTTGCTCATCACTCTAGTAACTCCCAGACAGGACTGAACAGGTTCTAACCTGAACAGGAGGGAGGGTGGAGGTTGTGGCTCTCTGCGGCTTGTTTACACACAAATCAGTCCCGGTCATATTTGAACCACCTTGTATATTAAATCACAGACTCACTGAATATGCATGCTGTCAAAGATGGAAAATAAGGTTGAGACAGCAGTGCCAGTTGAAGCACAGGTAGCTCTCACTGCTTCCTGACAGTCCTATCCATAACCACTAACAACTTGTACTTAACAGAATAAACACAGAGTTGCAAGTTGTGCCCAATCCGCAGAAAAGGGAAATTGCCAAAACTACAAGCATCGTAGGAAGGTCCTTACAAAGTAGTAACCAGGATAAATGATGTGGTATACAGAATCCAGAAGAACCCTTGGTCGAGGATGTTGGTAGTACACCTGGACCAGCTCACGCCTTATCATGGAGCTGCTCGAGATGATCAACCATAAAAAGGGGGAAGATGTAGCGGTTGGAGAGCAGAGCAACGGGGAGAAGAGAAACAGTAGCAGGACTCAAAGAAGATGCTGCAAGAACAGCCTCCAAAGACAAAGGAACGGGGATGCACCGTTAGGCTATTCGGGACGAACACCCTTAAGGAGGGAGCAGTGTGACATGTTGCGCTATGGATGACGCCCCTCCCTCCCCGCCAGCCGTGACGTGCCAAGCGGAGCCGAAGTGAGCCGAGTCCCAGCACGCTGGTCGCTATGCAAAGCGAGTAAACAGCGGTTGCTAAACAAAGCCAGTCAACACCCCGTCTCTCCAGCGGTGACGTAACACGGGACGCCGTAGTTGCTACGTAGCCCTAAACAACTCCCAACAGTGTTGCTAGGCTATCGGCAAACACGGCAACTAGGCAACAAGGAAGTGAGGCGTTTTCCTGTTGTCCGGCTGAGGGTTTATAAGAGACCTACACTGCCTACGAAGACAGTTAAAGAGTATCAACCGCTGAAGCGAGTTCTCAAGGCAGCAGCCTACGAAGCTAGTTTGAGTATAGCAGCAGTCGCGGAAAGAAGAACTGGACGCGTGTGTAATTGTGTAATTGGGAGTGTGTAATACAGAGAGACTTGTATGGCTCCCGTACTGTGAATATGTGTAGACTACTGAGGATAGAAGGAAGAGATTTGTGTGTAGGGTTTGTAAAGTGTGGAAACCTGTAACGTTGTAATTAATTGTAGCCGAGACTTGTAGGTTGTTAAATAAACTAATTAACAATCCGAACGGCGTCATCAGTAACAAAACACGTTACTTTTGTGCATGATAGCAGACCTAAGTTAGGAAATGTCAAAGGATGATGTTTGAAAGGAAGGATCACTCGGGAAGGTATGAGCCCTGACATAATAGTGGATGTTCATATTATCCATACTGGGTGAAAACTTCATCATGGAGATGGTTCATTATGGAGAAAATTCTAGGTATTCATTGTTTTAAAAAATATTTTATCTGGGGCCCAGTTCAATTAATTTGTAACTTTTGCAGTCCATGATGGAACGCCTCGAGGAGAGTAAGAATATGGAAGCAGCTGAACGAGCCAAATTAGAGGAAGAAATCAGAACCAAACAAGAGGAGGTAGTGAGAATCCAGAATGAAGTGGATCAGAAGGACGAGGAGACAAGACGTCTCCAGGTATGGGTTTGCATAATGAGTAAATCACTATGGAAGACAAAAATACGAGGAGATAGGAGTAATTATTGGTCTGCCTTTTGATCTAGGGAGGTGGGTATAGTACAGATGGTTGTCGGAAAATTGTCATCTTACCAATCTTATACAGCATCATAGAGTTTGTTTCTTCTACGAAAGACTGAATGAAGGAATGAATGTATGTATGAGGGGTAGGCCTTCTCGGCCCTTGCCCTGCAACCTACAATGGTCTATTGTGCTTTCTACGAAAGACTTGTATTTAAAGAACAATTTATGTTATAATTTAAAATGCAGAATTACAAGAATGCGCTGAATACTGGGGAATTTTCTGTGTAAAAAGTGAAATCAGTAGTAAAATTTGCCTTCACATACCACCAAAGGCACAAAATCATCTCCAGTTAGACATGATAGGACACATGATTTGAGGTCCTCAGCAGTGATAACTAAAGATTATTATCTATTAAGATGTGACACCATGCAGCCTGATGGAACATTGTCAGTATTTTTTTAGGAACTTGCTGCCTCCATGAGCAAAGTAGATACCCTGATATGTATATGATTGTATATGTAATTGGTCATCACTTAAACAAAACATGGGTGTTCAGTATGTATTTTAACATGGTTGTCATCTTTAGCAGGCAGTTGATCTCGATGTGATCGAACTGCTATCTGGACTAGTGCATTGTCTCTTGGTTAATATCTGTATTGAATTGCTGAGCTGGCTTGGTAATGCTATTGGTATAGAGATAATTTTGTTCCAGTGTAAAAAGTCTCCAGATGTGCAAGATACTTGTTCATTACATGATCATATTCTTCCTGAATATTAGCTTAGTAGCCCTGATTCCTGTTATGATTGTCCTCTATGAAATGATGTACTGGTGACAAATTTCTACACGTTTTCTTTTTTCTTGACAACAGGAAGAAGTTGAAGAAGCAAGACGGAAGCAAGATGAGGTGAAGCAGGCTCTTCTTGCTGCTACTACAACACCACAACATCACCATGTCCAAGAAAATGAGCATGATGAGGATGATGAGATGGTAAATGGTGATGTAAGCCGGGACTTAGCAACGGATGACAATATTATTGACCCCATAGAAGAGAGACGGACATTAGCTGAACGTAATGAACGTCTTCATGACCAGCTCAAGGTAAAACCTTAATAGATACAAAAACTTGCCAACTAGAACTATGCATGAAAATGATAGAGATTGGTTTCAGATATTAGCTCTGGTAGGAGGAAGTACAGGAAAAATGAAAACAATAAACACAGCCAAATGAATTTATTTCTCAGTATTTTTTCCATAAGGTATAATATGGATTTTATGTGTCATGTATTAATTGCTCTTTGGTAACGCCTTGTGGGAGAATTTTTTTATGCTGGGCGCACAGTCCCAAAGTTCTTAAATAGAGATATTGTGGAGTATTTGCTCCATGCAAGAACGGCTGAGCCACAGAAACAGCAGTTTATAAATAATACACACACGCAACAATGGAACAGTGGGGTTATGCAACCTGCTTCTAGGCAACGGTTCAGTAAACACAATTCAGCGCAGGCATGACGACGTCACATCTGAACAATGCTTAGCTGTCACGTGACTAGTGCTTTCTGTGTGGTCTGTGCTACACGACAGTAGAACTGTGTTTTCTGCATTGTCCGTGCCACGGCTATGTAACAAATCTGCTTGCAGCTAAGAAGAATCCAGAAGACCTCATACTTATTTGAAGTGCTAGGTGCTGTGTTGAGATTTGTTGCCAGGAGATGACTAGTGAAGCCGGAGAATCCTAGTGCGTGTGCAGCCGTGAACTGGAAAGTGCATAAATCACTGATAGTACTGCATTGGTTGTAATTAAGAGAAATTCTAACAAGTGCTAATAAATCCAATCCCGTTATTTTCATCACTCATATCCCAATACATATGACATTTTAGTGTCAGAAGATTGCGGTTCGGATCATATTGGATTCACCAACTGTAGTTAAGATCATAAATTTGTGACGTCTGATGTCACAAGGAACTGGATTGATTGATCGATGAGATTAAAGACTGCCTGCAAACATGGAACAAATGTTGAACTCGAGAAATCAATGCAAGAAGAAATGAGAACCCGTGGAGCCAAGATGGATGCTGAAATGAAAACCTTTCGAGACAATTCAGATGCCTATCGGGAAAAGATAAGAGACCAGCCTGAAACCGAGGGAACCTGAAAACAAGACTGATTTGGAAGAAATGGAGGCCAATCCAGAGAAGATGGAGCCGAATTCAGGAGTGATGCAGTCCGAAGTGGAGCATCGGGAAGTCCCTACATAAGAGGCCTCAATGAAATCTTGTGGGAACAATGAAGAAGCAGCACGGGCTGGCATCTAGCTGCAGGGCAATGGGGAGAGCAGGAACTGACCAAACATATTGTGAATCGTGAAGGAAATTGGCTGCCACCTGCAGGAAGGTGTCCTGTTGTGCAACAGTGGCGCAGTGCGAGAGAAATATCTTCAGGAAAATTCTGAACTGCAGAAGGAATTGGCTGCAGCCGGCAGGAGGATGACCCACAGTGCAAAAGTGGTATGGTGCAGGGGACACCATCATAAGAGATAAACCAGGAGTATGTTGGTACAAGAAACCTGGAAAGAGCCAATGGTTTGGAAAGAGATGTTGGAGGGGCCTTTAATGCAACCGAGCCACAAGGCAGCAGGCGATTAAAGAACCCAGGCACAGGACAGCGGTTGCTTCTTAAGATCAAGAGGTCATCAGAGGAGTTAGACAGGAAGGCTTTCAGACTGGAGTTCATGAAGCGAGCAACTGGGATGTCTAGCGGGTTGCGGAAACTGAGGAACTGGACCTTGTGGAGGGGTCGGCCCCCTTGAAGACGGAAGAGAAACCTACTAGCAGCATTAGTGTAAGAAGAGCTGGATATGTGGCAGCACCAGCCACTCTGCGGGTTATGGCCCCCTGTGGGAATGAGAAAGAATTAGAAAACCTTTGGGTGATGGTGATACATCTTGAACTACTGGCACGTTAGCATGAGCTTCTTGGGGCGAGTGGCCTTAAGGAGGGAGCAGTGGGAACGCTTGGAGAATGAACGCCGCAAAAGAAAGGAAAAAAAATTGCAGGAAGATGTTGAAAGCACAGACCTCAGAAAGGAAGGAAAGGTGATACATCATTAGGCTATTCAGGATGAACAGCCTTAAGGAAGGAGCAGTGTTGCATATTTGCTCCTTGCAAGAATGGTTGAGCCACAGAAACAACCATCACTAAGTAATACATGCACACAACAGTGTAACAACAGGGTCATGCAACCTGCTTCTAGGCAGTGGCTCAGTAAACACTATTCATGCAAGTGCAGTGACGTCACATCCCAACAGTGCTTAGCTATCAAGTGACTAGTGTTTCCTGTGTGGTCTGCACTATGCAATAGTAGAACTGTGTTTTTCTGCATTGTCCATGCCTTGGCTATATAACACGAGTCTGCTTGCAGCTAAGAAAAGTCCGGAAGAGTTTATATTTGAGTACCGAGATTCCATGGTGATTGAACAAGAAATGGCAAGATGATTTCATAATTATTTGAAGTGCTAGTTTCTGTGTTGAGATCTGTTGCCAGGAGACAACTAGTGAAGATGGAGAGTCCTAGTGCATGTGCAACAGTGAACTGGAAAGTGTGTAAATTAGCGATAGTGCTGTATTGTTGGTAACATACATAGCATTCCATAGATCCATGAGTTAGTCAGATGACCTACCGGATGTTGAATTTGTCAAAAATCATACAATACATATATACATGCACAATTCAATTTCACATAAATAGTAAGGATTTCACAAAAGTAGTAAAATATCCATCATAAATCCATACATTAACATATACTAGATTTTTTTTCCCTGTGTTCCAAACAAGAGAAAACATTACATACACTTTATGTTGTTTGGAAGCATAAATTCCTCAACAGAGTAAAAGGAGTGTGTAATTAAGTATCTCTTTAGTGCTACTTTAAATTGTCCCTGTTTATCTATAAGAGTTGTGATATTTGGTGGTAGATTGTTGAAGATTTTAATGCCAGTATAATATGCACTCTTCTGGAAACAAGAGAGGCTGGCAACTGGTCTGTGAAGCTGATTTTTATTCCTTGTGTTGACATTGTGTATTGTAGAATTGGTTGGAAAAAATTCTTGGTTTTTTACAATGAAGATCATTAAGGAGAATATGTATTCACATGGGAGAGTTAAGATCTCTAGCCTCTTGAAGATATTTTTACATGATTCTCTTGGTTTAACACCAGCCATTATTCTAACAATTTTCTTTTGTAAGATGAATATCTTCTGGCTGTAAGATGAGTTACCCCAAAAAATTATTCCGTACTTCATTACAGAATGAAAATAGGCAAAATAAATCAATTTGAGAGTCTCAGTATTGCTGACATGAAACATGCTTCTAACTGCGTAGCATGCTCCACTTAACTTAGGGATCAATTTATCTATATGGTTCGACCAACTTAGGTGGCTATCAATTTGCAAGCCAAGGAATTTCGTATTTACTGTCTCTTCTATATATTTTCCATTATATCCAATATTTAAAACATAGGGAGGGGCATTATTTGTTGTAAATTTCATTACATTTGTTTTGTTTAAATTTAGGGCAAGTCTGTTAGCATTGAACCATTTATTCATGTGGGAGAGTACTCTGTTTGATATTGCACAGAAATCATCAAACATTTTACTAGAGATTATAACACTTGTATCATCAGCAAATATTATAGGTAATTAAGAGAGAGTACAACCAAAGTGCTAATAAATCCAATCTGAACTAGGACCCTTTATTTTTGTCATGCTTGCCCCTGTACACATAACAATATGTTGCCTATAGAACTGTTATCTATGCTTTGTCAGCTGCAGGGATTAGTTTATATTAATTAGGGGATAATACGGTGATCATGAATGGTAATAAGGAAGATTGAATAAAGGAGTTGTCCCACCAAAGCAGTATCTTGGCTTTCCCGAGACAAGGAAACCCAATGAAAACTTTGCATTACTGTTCCTTTTGGTGAAGTTCAAAGCAATGTACCTTCTGAACAATCTATACTACTGAGCCAGATTGCTTAAAACCATGGAGTCAATTCAGTTCATGTAGTATGACTTGTTTCTTAGATGTATTTGTTCTTCATGTGTGAATTTCTATAGCAGTAAACACTTGTAAAACTTGAGTAAACATTCTGTGTAATAGATTGTTTACAGTCCTTATCTTGACAGACCTTGAACAGGAAATTGAGTAATAAAACTTTCAGAAGTGGGTTTACAAAATTTTCACTTTCAAATTGAGATGTGTGGGTTATCTGTAATACACACCACATAAGTATAAGTATATGCAGTAGTAGTGTTTGACTTTGTTGTAACTACTAAATGCATTTATCAGGTTAGTTTAGCAGCATTACTTGCAAATTGTGTTTGAGAGAACTGGCTGTCCTGACTTAATGTTTTTATGTAGGCTCTTCCCTCTCTCCCTCCAGGAAGATTCTGCACAGCACCCTGAATTATGTATCAGGTTAGTTTAGCAGCATTACTTGCAAATTGTGTTTGAGAGAACTGGCTGTCCTGACTTAATGTTTTTATGTAGGCTCTTCCCTCTCTCCCTCCAGGAAGATTCTGCACAGCACCCTGAATTATGCCCCTGTTATTTTCCCCCATTTATAGAATTCACCATTCGCGCCAATCTTCATGTCTCATCAGATCATATGTTCTCTGTTACATATCAGGCTTTTATGTTCAGAGAAACGTTTTGTTATTTTGTGTCCGCAAGAAAATTGCTTATGAACAGCCTACATAATAGTTGAGGGCATCCCAACAATTAAAAATTGGATTTGTCACATCCTAATTTTCTTTTGAATGTAATATTGTATGCAAGGGAACTTGTTTCATATGCTGCTAGAAAATGTCCTCTTAAATTTTTCTTTTTAAAAGCCCATATGTCACCATGTGTATATTTCAGGCTCTGAAGCAAGATTTGGCTCAGTCCCGTGATGAATCAAAGGAGACTGCAATGGACAAGATTCACAGGGAAAATGTACGTCAGGGTCGTGACAAATACAAGACCTTACGTGAAATCCGTAAAGGCAATACCAAGCGTCGTGTGGATCAGTTTGAAAACATGTAAACAGTTGGAAGGGCATGTTTTATTCATCAGCTGCATGCAGAGTGAGTGGAGGGAGCCAAGCCTCAGGCACTGATTGTAACTTCAACTCAAACATGCTCAGAGTGCTTCAAATTTTATTGATCTGTTTACCTTATGATAATCTTGATGTAACAAATCAGTCAAATTTGTCAGTGAAAGGAGATGTTGTTTCAGATCTGTTTCGCAAGGAACTGATTCGATCTTTCCTACACAAGTGTGTATGGTAATTGTGAAAGATAAGAAGGAATATAGTGAGGGTGGTTGCAATATGCTTCTTGGCCTGGGCTTCCTAATTGTCATACATGAAAAAGAAAAATGTAAATACTTTCCTATATTTTTGTGGACAGTGTTACTGGCAATATTTATTTTACAACATGATTGCTTGCCACCCTGGGCTTCCTGTTCTTATTGCAGCCGTTACCATGCACTAGAAACTGTTCTTATGGAGAACAGATTTTTTCATTGGCAAATCTTATCGACTTGAAAACTATTCAGCAATCAACCGGCCTAAGATACTGGTTCACCACAATAGTGGCCATCGTGTATTATGAATTATTCAGTGAATATTTGGGAGAAATGGACATATCTTGTATTACAAATTGTGGCCTTGGTATGTTTGATGTTTGGCTCTTTTTATGAATGAAGGAAGCGAGCGTTAACATTAAGAAAGACTGTTTGAAAAGTATATTAATAATAATGATAATGAAAGTACAGGTTGTCTGATCATGCCAGATGTTTGAATATTCTCTGCAATGCAGTACTTTTTCTGATTAACTGTTGTTCCCAGTAATAATCAAAATAGACTTTTGAGTCTGCTACATAGCTTTACAACTTCTTATAAGGAATTATCTTCTGTTAAATAAAAAATTTCTTAGCAGTCTAAGCATTTCATTTGAACATACACCATAGGAATTAAATGAGGTTAGTCAGTTGTATCAGATCTGGATCATGACATCTTGTGCATTCATTTTTAGGCTATATTCTTTATGCCAAATAACTTGGTAAGTCATGCCTTTTGCCAGTTAAGAGAAATAATTTATATGGAGTTGAGGAAGGGAGAGGTTTATTCAGTTAAAGATTACACAGTTCTGATTTCATAGGAAGTTGTCATGTACTGCAATTGTATAATAGTGATTAATTCATAAACATACTCATTTTCATATTCTAAATATTCTTTTTGCCTTAACTGTGTTGTAGCATTCCATTTCTTTATTTTTACAGTTTCAAAAGGCAATCATACAATTTTGATAAAGTTGAGAACTGTTTTCAGAGACCACATGTTAATCCACTTAGTTCTATATTGTCTTTGTTTGCATTATCTCTTGCATAGCACTGTGCTACTTTAAAAATAATTAGTACATGTAACATTCGTTTTTATGTAAACTAATGTCTGCTTTACACATAACACACTGAATACTTGCATTTGTTTCTTTCTTTTCATTTTGGATGGCTGAAAATTGAACAGATCAGCTTATGAGCAGTGCCATTTAACAAAATTCTTCCAAAACTTCATTTCTTCACTGTCACTTAAGTCATGTTACTAATAACATACTTGACTGGTGCTTTAAGATTTGTATTGTACATAATTCTGCATCGTCAGTATGCAAGTGCAAGTTTTTTCTCTCTCTCCAGTTTCCATTCTTTGACATCAGTGTACAAAATAGTAGACTTTCATTTGTTGACTGTGCAGTAGTTGATGATCCAGTGCATATGCCACTGGTAGAGAAATGTCTTTAAAATACACATAACCAAGTTGCCTTTGTAACGAAGAAGAAGAAGAAGAAGCATTAGCGAATGGAAATTGAAACTGTGTTGAAGTATGTAAGACACTTTTCCTCTACTCGGAAAAATGATTGCATCAACCACTTGTACTTCTCTTGTTCCTGTTATAAGAAAAATATTGTTAACATGATGAAGCTAATTTTTTATATCAGCTTGAACAGTTAATTAAGTACTAAGTAATATTAAAAATAGTTACTGGAAATTATGTTCTACTTCTTAATAAGTAGAGAAAACTTCTCTTTCTTTCTGGTATGGGATGTAGTATTATGTAGACCTACAACAATAATTGAGTCCCAACATGTAACATTTTAAATAAGTTGTTGTTCCTTAACAGGCCATTTGTACTATTTTGGAGTGAGATAGGGAGTACTCATTTGGATATCCTGTAAAGCAGCAGATTTGAGCTGAAAGTGAAAAATAATCCATAAGACGGAAGATATTAGTTTTTAAGTAATTTTTTGTATAGTACTAGGGATATTCAAAGTAAGTAATAAAATGTTTTCAGTTTGGGTTTATTTTTTTCTCACGAGACTTAAATAATTTTGCCAGTAAGAAATGTGTATAGGGTTATTCTATGTCAAATCAGAACCCTCAACCTGAAACCTGCCATTTGTCATTCATATTGGCAAGTTTGTTGAAAGTATATTTGCTACTTGGTATATTTCAGGGCTTATGGATTCTTTCATATATGACTAAAATGTAAATATAAATTGGAAAAATCAGTATATGTATGTAGACTTAGTTTGTAATAAAGTTGCTGATGTGTTACACTTCTTCATATGCTGCTGCAGTGATTCCAGTTTCCTTTCAGAGGTCCTGCTTATTTTATTGTAAGCTGATATTCTATCATAGGCACTTTGGTCTGGGAAAAACTTGTTTTTCTGGCATCTTAGATTGGTGTAGGTAAAATGCTAAACTTTGCAGACATTTATGAGTAGAAGATCCATTCAAAATTTGTAAATAAATTTGGACATCCCACAGGTTCAGTCAGTTCATCAGATATCAGAACAAAGTACTTGGCTGCATAATTTTCAGTTGACCTTCAAGTATGACACATTGTTTCATGTTTGTGATGAAGGACATGCTGTTCATACAGAGTTTCAGAGAATCGAGCTTGTTGGTACCTATTATGTCTGGGATCAAATCTGATGGGATTACAGATGTGTAATTGCATAAAGAAGTTTCTTTAGCCATAAAAATAGAGTGACTTGCCAGATTTCATAAAAATTGGAAGGGTTCAGGTTGAGTATGGTATTTCTTGTCTAAATCATCTTTGAAAATGAGTCATCAGATGATGACACTCATAATCATTAAAAACTTGCTAGTTTTCTATTTTCAACATACAATGGGAACCATAATTTCCATACCTGAGGTCTTGTTGAATACACAGGACTTTCCTTCCATAAGGTGTGACATACCCTCAAAGGTGTTTTAGACTTGGATTGATTTGCATGTAGTTCAGTATGAAACAATTACGGAATACGTGTTTGGGGGTAAAGGTTTTTCAACTCTCAGATGAAAAGTTCGTAATGTAACCTTAACTCATAAGTATGTGCATTTATTTTTTACTAAACTTTGCCTGATGTGATTGTATTGTGCTCTATTCATGGAGAGGCAGAACATTCTTCAAATATAAGAGGCAAGAGGAAAGTTTGTACTATTAGTAACGTAATTTGGCAATGTTTAGTCTGCTAAACAAGTTTGTATGTTGCATGCTACATGCAAGTTTTAATACGAAAATTCACATGAGTCAGCACTGGGATTCTCTTACAAAGTGGGAACCGATGTGCTGAAAGGAACAAATGTTTTTGTTTATCTACATATATCACCAACACCATTTTGATTTTCCAGTGAGACCCGTTGTTTTTCAAAAGTAAGTTGACTTATTTTGTTCATGAATTATACGAAGGAAGACTGGTTCCTGTTCTGAGCCTTGTAACGCCAGGGAAGCTCTTAGTAAAGTGATCACGCTACAGACTGGATGACCAGGGATCTGAAGTTGATTCCTGGTAGGAGTTCAGATTTGTGTCCTCTCCACAGCATCCAGACTGGCCCTGGTGGATGAACTGACCACTCACCTCTATCTGGTGCCGAGATTAATAATGCATGGAGCTGTACCTCCACTTCATGGCATGATGCTTGATTAAGCTCAGGGAGAACTTTACCTTTTTTTTCTTACCTACACTGAATTTTGGTGGATAATTTCTGGTTTTGAATTACTTCATGCAAAATTTCTGCATTTTAGGACTTTATTATTTTGGGGAATATGGAAGAACGTTGCATATTCAACACAGTCAGAACTCTGACCCCTGCCTTTATACTGGTTTCTTTGCTTGGCTTATCCTTTGGCCCAGAAGATGCAGTCAATGTGTTCCTCCAAATTGTTCGTTGACTTTCAGCAGACTACACAGAACTGTTCAAGGTTCATGAAAACCTTGAACAAAGAAAACTGGCACGCACAAACCTTTTTCTGGGAGTTTGCCATAGTCATAGTAAATGCCATGGAGCATAGTCTGTGAGAAACTGATGGTTGCACAGGTTAAATTACCAGCCTTAAACAAAGCCTGAACTTAGAATATTTAAACATAAGACAATGTACTGGTAATAGAAAAATTGGGAAAATTATATAATCAATAGATTCATAATTGGCATTCTTCAATAAACATTATTATTGTGATGAAACCAAGGATACTGAGATGGGTAGGACTTAATGTATAGTGTGCATGGGGATGACAAATGCATACAAGATTTTAAGAACATGAAGGAAATAGATCCGGTCTAGAAAACCGAAATTAATGGCCATGGAGATTTGTTGTGTGACACCCTCTGTCCACAAAAGTTGGCACTAAACTTTGCCGACAAGTGGTGCTCGCTCGGACGGTATAGTTTGCTTGTGGTCTTTCTTTTTTCTTTTTTGAAGGATATAGATCTGATGGACAACCTCTAGGTATGGATAGGGATATTAAATTTGGCAGCATGTTTTTCATATGACCTACATATGTTACCGTTCAAAAGGTAATCGAAGGAACAAAATGAATCCACGTGCTGCATGACTGTCAGCTTCTCAAGAAGAACTCTGCTTCATGGATATCATGGAATATGGAGATCTCGTTATTTTAACTCTCCCCAGTAGACCCTAGCCCGAGCTGGTTGAATGGAGTTAGCTGTTCAGGGTCCATTGTAATATCCTCCTGCCTGTTTCAAGGTCTCCTAGGTGGTTGTTTCCCTGCAAGTTTTCAGAATAAAATTTTGTAATGTCTTGCCCATCTTATACTTTCTTTTCATCATCTTAGTAATTATATTTGATGAAGAATACAAATTATGAAATGGCCTATTACAGCTTTTAAGAAAACTTGTGTCCATGTTAATTTATTTATTGTAGGTGATTTTTTTAAAGAGGCCAACTTTACCTTTTTCTGTGGATGAAAATGTGGAGTACAGTATGAGGTGTCACCATCAAGATTGTGAACTTGCTGCCGTGTGGTTGCCATGGCAGCTGTGGACAGAAACCTCAGTATGGATTGATGATGTTGACATATCAGCGTTTCACAGCTGTGTTGTTGCTCTATGGCAGTCTCTTTCTGAGTGGTGTCTATTATTTGAGTGTGTTTTGATGTGCTGTCGCAAAAATGTTGGAACTAACATTAAATTTCTTGTTAAACTTAGCAGGAGTGGAAGCGAAATGAGAGAGATGCAAGTTTAGGAGGATAATGCTGTGAAGAAAACAGCAGTTTACAATTAGGTGATATGTTTTTTTCTGAGGGAAGGGAAAGTGTCTGATGATGAGAGATCAGGACAGCCAGCAACCATCAGAACTGAAGAAAACATTCCAAAAATTTGTCAAATTGTGTGTGAAAATCATCAGCTGACTGTCAGGAGCATAGCAGAGCAAGCAAACATTGACTCAGAAATTGTCAGGAAAACCTTAACTGAAGATCTTGACATGAGGAAGGTGTGTGCAGAAATGGTCCCAAAGGACTTGCTCACACAGCACTGTCTGTTAGGGAGTTTCTAGCTATTAAATAACTGTGCTGGAACACCTCCCTATTCACCGGATCTAGCCTCCAGTGACTTTTTCTGTTCCGGATGATAAAAGATATATTGAAAGGAAGGCATTTTGATGACATTGACATCAGGAGTAATATGACGGCAGCTCTGAAGGCCATTCCACAAAAACAGTTTCAAAATTGTTTTGAAGGGTGGACTAGGCGCTGGCATCAGTGCATATCTTCTCAAGGGGAGTACTTTGAAGGCAACCACATTGATATTTAGCAATGAAGTATGTAGCACTTTTACAGCCATGAGTTTGCAGACTTATCCTACTTTTGTGTCGTATTACACTTATTATGTGGGAAGTGGGCATTTTATAGTTTACCCAAGCACTTGGACCACTACTGGGTCTGTTGTGTACATGCCCACATTTCTTGCATGCGACTGTTTCCAAGAGACCTGTAAATTAGGTGTTAAAATCCTATGGACCATTACAGTAGCCACTTTTGACACTTTTAGCTAGTCTGATATCATCTCAGAGCCTGGCATGCAGGGGAAAGGGTAGGTATGTATGAGGGGCGTTCAAGTTCTAAGGTCTCCGATTTTTTTTCTCAGGACTGGGAGCAGATAGACACATTCGGTTTAGTTTAAAATACGTGTGCACTCTTTGTGAATGCGTGACAGAGATGGCAGCACTGTACAGCACACAGAACTCTAGTGGTGGCAGCGAGAGTGAGCAGTGTTTTTGATACTTAAAACGGCGACGTTTTCGTTACAATAACAGCGAGTAATCATTCGTTTTCTCCACTTGCGTGGCATGACACGCATTGAAATTCATCGCCAGTCGAGTGAGACCTGTGGTGATGGTGTCATGAATGTGAAAAATGTACGTTTGTGGGTGTGACAGTTCAAAGAAGGCCGAATGTCGTGTGACAACGAATCAAAACAATCTCGGCCTTGCACCAGCTGGTCTGACAACATGTTCGACCGAGTTGAGAAAGTTGTTTTGGAGGATTGCCGATTGAGCGTGGAAAACATTGCCTCCGAAGTTGGCATTTCGGTGGGATCTGTGCACACAATCCTGCATGAAGACCTGCGAATGTCCTCCAGGTGGGTGCCACAAATGCTGGTGGACAACCACAAGGCTGTGCATGGCAATTTGCCAGGCGATGTTGACACGTGATGAAAGCATGAATGGGACTTTGTTTTCATCAGTTGTGACAATGGATGAGACATGGATGCTGTTTTTCAATCCTGAAACAAAGCGCGATTTTCCAGTGGTCAAAACAGACTTCTACAGAAGCGTTCATAGCGGCCATGGAATCAAGGTGTCAACGTTGTGAAAAATGTGTATGGCTGCAGGGAGATTACGTTGAAAAGTGACAGAAGTTTCAAATTGTTTGTATGGTTATTGTGTGAGAAAAAAAATCGGAGACCTTAGAACTTGAACGCACAACGTACAATGGAAGAGTGATTTGTGTTCCAAGGGTATTGTTTGCTACACTGCCTCCTTGGTGCCCCACAGGTCTTGGTACAGTAGTTTACATGTTAAAGCACCACAACCTTTGGTCACCCAGGTCAGTTTGCTATTTATACAACTGCCACTAGGAGGTGGGTGGGATAATTTGAACCCCTCTACCCTACTTAGGTACCTCTAGCTTTTCTACAGCCATTTTCATTGACCCTTATTTTGCTTAAAGCATGGTAATCACATATTTATGCAACAATATGAATATGAGAAGTATCCATACTGAGAGGAGAGGGAGAGAGGAATGCACGATCTTTCTC